TATTTTTATCAGTTCTACAAGCAGACATAATGCTCAATAAGACGGTACATACTGATTCACGAAGCTGTTTCTATAGTAATTACATGTAATAGCAATGTCTGCTTTTAAAAATCTTTGTATAAATTATATGGTTTGTAGTCAGGTATGATGGCACACTCCTATAATCCCAGCACTCTGGAGGATGAGGCAGGAGGATCACTGCAAGTTCCAGGCCAGCCTGGGCTAAAAAATGAGTTCAAGACCAATCTGAACTACATAGTGAGACCTGTGTCTCAAAGAGACAAAAAATTAAACTAAATTAAACTTAAAAAAAAATTATGTAGTCTGTATATTTGGTGATTTATTTCTCAAGTTGATCCAAAGCTGCTCCCTACAACCTTCTGCTCTATCCCCTTTTCCACCCTCCTTCCCTTTATCTTTCCATTCCCCTCCTCCTTCTCCTACTCCCTTTTTATTCCTTTTTCTTTTTTTTCAGTACTAGAAATTGAACCCAGGACCTTCACACTGAGATACATCAACAACTTTTTGATATTTTTTGAGGCAGGGTCTCAGGTAAGTCACTATGTTGCCTAAATTGGCTCAAACTTGAAACCCTCCTGCCTCAACTTTCAAAGCTACTGCTTGAAGAAAATGCTGAAATTGTCAGGAGCTATTCCTGAAGAACTCCTTCATGTATTCCAGGACAGAACATTTACTAAAACCTATTTTTCAAAACAGCATGCTAATTCTTGTCTTAAATTGGTTTTCAAAGTATACAGATCTACATTTAGTATTACGCACAATGCAAATATGAACTAAAAAAAAAGTTGATTACTCTAGGTCCTAGGTGTTTTGCATGTCCTTACAAATTTTAAAAACAGCTCATTTTTTAAAAAGCCTTCTAGAATTTAGACTGCAATTGTGTTGAATCTATAGACTGATTTGGGAAGAACAAATAATATTATCTTCCAACTCATAGCTAAGACAGTATTTATCTAGGTCTTCTTTAATTGTTCTCAGATGAACAATTGTGATATATCAACAGAAAACTAGTTTGCAATAAAAAAATATAAATTCCCTATTGATATACACATTATTGAATTTACAAATAAGTTAACCAAGAGGCCTAACAAAAACACAAAGCATATACAACTATATATATATATATATACACATATATATGTAATTATTTACAGTGAAAATTAATCTATAGTAATAGATGAGAAAATGCCTGGGGAGGGATTACCTAAGGACAAGAAAAGACTCTAAAAGGTGATAGTTAAGCTTACCATGTCATTACTGGTGATGTTGCATATCAAAACTAAATTATATATTTTCAATAAATCTATTTATCATGTGTCATTCAAACCTCAATGAAGGAAAGGAAAAGAAAAAAAAAAAAAAAACAACTAATGTAATCATCACTAGGAATCCAGAAAATATGCTTTCAATAGATACAAGTTGAATATAACTTATCTGAAATGCTTGGAATAAAAAATTTTTTGGATTCAGGATTTTAGAATATTTACACACCCATGAGTTTCTTAGGGATGGAACCCAAATCTAATTGATGATGGAAAGGAGGACTGGAGTAAACTTGAAAAACTGTGCAGTAATCTGTCTGAGTCATGGCAACCCAAGGCATAAGCACAGAACAGAGGATCCAAGATGACTGCAATTCCTGAGCACGGTCCACAGAACCAAAAAGAAAAGTGCTATTTTCAATTCTTAGTTTACTTCATGGCACCATGTCGGTATTCAAAAGGTTTTAAATTCTGAAGCATTCAGGAATATGGTTTTTCAGATTAAGAGTGTTCAACCTGTACATGATTTATGTAACATTAAATCCACCCTTTCAAAGTAAACTATTCAGAGACTTTTAATATACTGCACTGACAAGGTTATACAACAGTTACTACTAATTCCAGAACATTTGTATTATCCCCAAAAGAAATCTATACCCACTACCAATCATTCCACTTTTCCTCAGTTGTGAATATAACATCCATATGACATATTTCAGCCGGTCATGGCAGTTTAATAAAGCCTTAAAATGTTTCTAGCTTGACAGATTGCTTTTAACTTAATTTTAAGGACTTGTATCACAAGCACTATTACAGTCTTCATTTTATTCCAATTGTTAGTTGTTAGGCAAGAACTTTTAAAGGCAAGCAGCTAAGCATGCTTACAAGGTGAAGAAGCCACTGCCCTTTAATTAAATGCTAATATTCCCCTCCAGTTCTTTTTTTCTGATAACTCCCTCCCAGAAAACTATTTAGGGGACTGGTAAAATATCAGAGGACTATAGCGCCTGTTTAGGCAAGTACAGGGACCACGGTTCAATCCCTGGCACCACATGTCATGCCTGCGCCGCCCCTAGGGTAGGCTGAGCCGGCCACAAAAAAAGAAGAAAAAGAAAACCATTAGGGACCAGTTTAAACCAACCAAATCAGAGTCATTTTTCTAGGTGAGTTAGAATAAACAGTGCTCATTATAATTTCATTACATTCTCTGTCATAGGTGCTCCCATCCACCATTTTAAATATGTTATCACGATGAAGCATGATACTGCTGCTCACGTTGTGTAATCCCAGGACTCCAGAGGCTGGGACAGGAGGTCACAAACCCAGCCTATGCAACCCAGCACTGCTGGTGATGCAACTCAGTTTGAAAGGCACTTGTTGGGGGAGGTGTCTGAAAATGAGCATGCTCAGGAATATGCCCATGTGTGTGATGACAAGTTTTTGCAATAAAAATCTCGCCTTTCTTTCTTCTTTTTAATTTTTTTTTTTTTTTTTTTTTTTTTTCCAAGAAATGAACTCAGGACTTTGTACTTGCCAGGCAGTCCCTGTGCTGCTGAGATATATCAGACATATCTCTGGCCCTCAGTCCTGTCCTTACTTGCTGCAAATAATGAACTTTTTTTTCACTCTTTTTCTCCTAATTGTACTTACTGGCTTTACACTAACAAGGGTAAATCCACTGTCTTCAGTTACATGATGAAAACAAGAACCACATAGAGATGTTGCAACAGAAATATCATTTAGTGGACATATAATAATGACTGAAAGTTATTATTAAAATATTAATTTCAAAACTTGAAAATTTATTTTCCTCCAGCTCTTCATTATTTTTCAATCCCTGAGTTGGACAAGACAGAACTACAATGGCAAAAAAAATAAACAAATGATGCGTTTGAAAATATTAAAGAGCACATAATCTGTATCACTTTAAAAACTTTAATACATTCCCTTTCAAGATAACTCCTCCATGTTTTCTCAACAATTTTTTAACATTTAACTCTTGATGAAACTTCAGGTAGCACACTTGTAATCCCAGAACTCAGGAAACTGGAGGAGGAGGATCATAATTTTGAGCCCAGCTGGGGCAATTTAACAATTTAGTGAGACCCTGTATTAAAATTTAAAAAAAAAAAAAAAAAAAAAAGAACAACATAAAACAGTCCAGGTAGAATTTGGAAGGATAACAGGGTTAAAGAAGACATTACCATATGTTTTAGAGCTTCTGTACAATAGTAAAAGTCGTAACAGAAAATGTCATTATTTTTTAATATGAAGAGCTATTAGGGATGATAAACATATAATAAATCTTAGAATGATTTACCACTATGTAAAGCACAGATTACTTTTGGAACACAGAAATTAAGCATGATAGAACCAAACTATAACAACTGATACTAAGAATTTCACACTATGTTTAGAGTACACTGAGAAATCATTCAACTTTAAACATTGCTTTAAAAAATAACTTTTGATATAATAGATTCCCAGCATTCTAAATAGAAGTTAGATATATTCCCAATAATAAGTCTAAGCAAAGTTTATGCCTAAGCATAATACAACTGAAATGTTCAATGATTTTTAAAGACTATTACATTTCTTTGATCAGCAAAAATATAGCATTAGCAGCATTAGCATTATTACAGCATGATTAGTTGAAATATCAAAGACAAAATTCTGAAAAAACATGAAATGAATCTTTTTCTGATGTTACCTTGGCATAACTATAGTAATTTCAAACCACCACCAAGAGTAAGCAGGTTCTTGATATCTGAGATGTGTAAAATCAAAGACCTTCCAAACTTATCATAGTACAAATACCACTGAACATATCCACTTCAGCAAAATTTGGAGGAACCCAAACAACAGAATAAAATCACAAAGCCTCATTAAAATACAAGTATTAGGCACTCCTATGCATATTCACTAGCTATTGAAATCTTTCCATGAAAAGTTATCAGTTACTACATCATGGAACCTATCAGCTTATTAACAGTCAAAACCATGAACATTAAACTGTTGGCTATCAAGGGGTCTACTCTAAATGTCTGAGAAAACAATGAACAAGAAATGAAAAAAATTTAGGACTTACATCACATAAGATTTGTCAACTAAAAACTATTAATTTTCCTGTGTTTCCCCTTTAAAAATGAAAAATCAGATGAATACCTATGCATGCATGTATCTAACAGATCTATAGTCACAAAAACTAGAAAACACTTTAGCCAGTGAATTAACAAACAACCCCATAGTACAACCACAGACAGAAATTTGAACAAATAACAAGTAATCAACTACTTATTGGCCTATCCACTAACTTGAAATAAAAAGACATTTTGCTGAACATAATCCAGCCAGCCTCAAAAGATCATTCACTTTATGATTCCATGTATGTGACAGTCTTTAAAAGGCAAATCCTCAACAATAAAGACCATTGGCTGCCAGTATTAGGGGCAGAGGTTAGACGTGATCATAAAGGGATAACCAAATGTACAGACATGCATGTGGAAAAGGGGTCGGTTTTACAATTTTAAAAATAAATAGCATTTCCAAGAAGCCAATTAAGTTTAGCCATTTTTAAAAGTAAAATAGTGTTGTACCTGGCCAAGTTTTTAAAATTTATTGAATAGTATTTGTTGATGATGACAACAAAAGTCAACCTATCAAAGGACTGAAGCATCTTTAAACCCCTACTAGCTTTTTAATCCAAAAAGGACTTACCAAGTTCATTGAGACTCTGAGCAGCTTTTGTTATCTCTCTACTTCCTCCTTGCAGTTGTCCTTGGAGTCTCTTACTGAGATACAAGATGCGAATAATTCTCCGAAGCAAATCACAGGCAACCTGTGCAAGTATCACAAGGTCAAGTATAGCTGACACAGGAAGTTTCATCATTACTACTGTTAATATGTGAATCTTTTCCATTCTTTCCAATCACTAGGATTCACTTATGCCTTTCTGTTTTCCACAATCAGAGAAAATTACAAGTAAATAATTACAAGTCTTAAAAAGTATGAATTTCCTAGGGCCAATCAACTGTACCATATTTACCCTATACAATAAAGTCCCGTTTTTTGTATGTGGAGAGAATTTACAACAGAAATACTATGAAACCCAGATTCATTTCAGTCCTGGGCCAGTTTTCTCCTCTTGTCTAATGGTCCTCAGTCTTGACTGTAAAATTCAAGTGGGTTGGGTTCAGCAAGTTCCAGTGCCCATGCCACAGCCCTGAACAATTAAAACAGAACCTCAATATCCCCAGGTGAGGCCAAGGTAACAGCCACTGTTAGAGGCTTTCTACTGCTCTCTCCAATCCTATTTCTCCTTTCTAGGTACCCAGAGGAACAGTCTGAAACTCTCAATTCTACCAGTCCTTAAAAAATTACCAGGGGCTGGGGAGATGGCTTCGTAGAATAAACGCTTCCCTGGCAAGCGCAAGGGCCTGAGTTCAAGCCCCGATTCCGCCAAATAAAAGGAAAAAAAGAAAAGAAATAACCATACCCCACTCCAGTTGCCCTAATAGTATTTTTATCATTAATAAATTATAAAAGAGAAAGTTACTAAAATAAAACCAAAAAAATTATCCCACATACAATCCTATAACCTCCCATTCACTTTTCTTTCTACCATCTGAGTATTAACCTATTCAATGGCTAGGAAATAGAATCATATGTCAAAGCACTTTACTACAAACCTGGCACCCAACTTATGGCCTTGGAATGAGGGAGTAGTAGTAGAGTAACCCAATATATAGTGATCTTTAGCCTCAGCAGTGAATGCAAAGGAGAGGTGTTGGTGCTACTGCATCACTACTGGGGGGGGGGGTAATTTATTAGTGCATACTGTTTACATTCCTTGTGAGAAGCTGGTACATAGACATATTACATCTTAATCCCTTTTCACATTCACTTTTCCTTCCCTCTTCCCCTACCCACCCATGCATCACCATTCTTAAATGGCCCCAAGGGAAGTTGAAAAGCCAGCATATCTTTCCATCTAAATAAGACTATTCTAAATGATGACAATGAGAATTTTAAAACCCAGAAAGACAGGGTCCTGGAGCCTCTAGCTATAAATACTTACATGAGAAAATACATAACACAGAAGAGTCACATACAGCCATACTCATGGATTCATAAAGCATAACATATGCACAAACATACAAACAATGTTTATCAATATATGTCACAGGCACCGAGTATTAAACATGTTTACTTGACTCCTTTGAAAGTAAATATAAGGTAATTAAAATAATAAAAGAATTTCTCCCTGGAAATTAAAGTTTGAATATATTTTTAAATTAAGTATTATTTATTTTCTGAATTGATTTTAAACAATTTAAAATTCAAATATAAAACTGAAAAGTCATCTTCATCTCTATACTTTCCAACTATGCAGTTAACAGAAACTACTACTATCAGTTTCTTGCTTGTTAGGACTAGCAAGAATCTGGAATGTAAAATTTTTCGCAACCATTTATGAGATTCTAAATAATTATGAGGAAAAATCTCAAACATTACAGTAAATGAGGGGGCCTGGCCCTAGCTCAGTCTTTAAGTGGCTGCTTCCACAAAGCTGTCAGCCTCAGGTTCCTGGAGTTCGAACCTCACAACTCTCCCGCTGGCCAAAAGTGCCCTGAAGGCATTCGAGGAAGGAAAAAAAAAAACAAAACAAAAAACCCTTACAGTAAATGAGCTAAAATTATCCTCAAATTCCTCAGTCCTACCCAAAAATGAGAGCCCTTAACCAGGATATTTTTTAGTTCATTCCTAATGTTTTTTTATTTTTAACAATGATGTCTTACTGACTTTCTACTGCATAAAACAACCCATTGTTATTTTACATTTAATTCTACAAACATCACCCAAAGCCAAAACCTTATCACTTTCACCTACTCACTGACACAGTCAGACTTTATCTTCTCAAAAAGTTTTCAGCATACCACCCATCTTAACAAACTTTAGTGCTTCTACTTACCATTTCTGTGAACTTTTCAAAGAACAACATTTAATGAAATATTCAGTCAAAAAGTCTTAGCTAATCTATAAGGTATTCTCACCATTTCCCAATATCATTGGCTCCCCCCAATCAATTTTTTTCTTACTTACAGACTCTCATTAAATTATAGAAAGAGAGGAAACTACACAGATACACAGCTCCATGAACTTGGAACTATCTCAAAAAGGAGACAGAAATGCACCAGCCACCACCACTCCCTCCCCAACCCCACCAAGAGAATCCAGTATTCTCCCTTACATTGTAAACATCTCTTCATTTTTATGATTTTACTACAGAAATATAAAAGCCTTAGTATTACAGTTTCATTTTGTCCTCTATTCTGTACATTTCCTCACCAGTTTTTCTTTGTAATTTGTTGAATTCAGAGACTCATCTGTCCTACAAGTTTCCATCAATCTTGTGTTTCCTGTACTCCCATCACACAGTTCATTTAACAAGTTTGTATGTCTTCTCACATTTCGGATAAATTAGCAGTAGGCTGTAGGCAGTTTCAGCAGATTTATATTTCATACTTTTGGCAAGATTAATCATTAGGTGGTGATATATTTATAACACACACATGATTTTCTCTTCATGTTATTAGTAGCCCTCGATATTAAATGTCAAAATCCATTAAAACCTAAGTGACTATAAAATAGTGATTCTGCAATTCTATTGCTTCATATTCATTTACTTGCTAACACATAAAATTTCTCCATAAATGAAATTTTACCTCAACTCCTGTTTGTTTATACTCAGAGGTACTATTCATGTGGAAAGTAAAATAATACTTGATCTTCCTCTTGGTTTAACAGTTTTCTAATGTCCACTAATGATGTACAATTAGTGGCACTTTGTTATTGTTTTGAGCTTTTCTCTCCATCACTACAAATTCATAAATTTAAACCCAATGAGGAATGTCAGTAAGTTGTAGCTTGTATCCTTACTCATGCTCAAATTATCCCATCTTGGCTAGTGGGAGCCTCAGAGTGATCAACTGTATCACTGCCTGAAACAGGTTTCTCATCATTTACAACTTTCAGGGATAAAAGCGAGAGTTGGTCACCTGCATGGGACATACTGAAATCAGTCCCTTTGTTGAAGACCTAGTACAGTAGTCTTTGGTGTCTTCCTTAGTATCTGGCATAAAAATATTTCAAGACATTTCATGCCCTGGAAATAAAATCAAAGATTTCTCATAGAGGCTATGGTTTCTTTTGGGAAGGAAGAAAAAGCACTTTAAAAACCACATTTTGGTAATCAGTTTTCTTCATTTCTGGGATATTTCTATAGACACAGCTAAGAAATGTCAGAATTAATTAAAATATGGCATATTCATTTGCTTTATTCTATAATACATACAAAACATCCTCAGATTAACTGATATATATATGTTCATACAGAGTTTATATAGAGTTTATATGTATATATAAACTATATATAGTATATATATAGTATATA